ACAAAGCCGAGGCTGTGAGGGTCGAAGCAGCTGCTGTGGTTGCCTTGGGCCGAGACAAGCCACTGCAGCTGCGAGGACCAAGCCCCTTGCACTAATTTCGTGCATCGAGTCTCTAGTTGGTATATAAAAATGCCATTGATTTCTGGATGTTAATTTTGTATCCTGCTACATTGCCAACTTCATTTATTAAATCTAGTAGTTTTTTGGTGGAGTCTTCAGGGTTTCTATATACAATATCATGTCATCTGTGAAAAATGACAGTTACAACACCTTCTTTCCTATTGGATGCCTTTTTCTTCTTGTCTTATCACTGTGGCTAGGACTTTGAGTACTATGTTGAATAAGAGTGGTGATAGCAGACATGCCTGTCTTGTTCCTGTTCTTAAGGGAAACACTTTCAGTTTTTGCCCATTAAGTATGATGTTGGCTGTAGGCTCGTCATATATAGCATTTATTGTGTTGAGGTATGATCTCGCTATTCCCACTTTCCTGAGAGTTTTTATCAAAAATGGGTGCTAGATTTGGTCGAATCCTTTTTGTGAATCTATTGATATGATCATGTGATTTTTATCTTTCATTTTGTTTGTGTGATGTATCACATTTATTGATTTGAGAATACTGTACCAGCCTTGCATCCCTGAGATAAATTCCACTTGGTCATCATATATATTTTTAATATATTGCTGGATCCAATTGGTTAATATTTTTGAGGATTTGGGCATCTATAATTATAAGGGATATTGGCCTGTAATTTTCTTTCCTTGTAGTGTCTTTATCTGGTTGTGAAATTAGGATAATGCTGCTCTCATAAAAAGAGCTTGGAATTCTTCCTTCCTCTTGGATATTTTGGAATAGGTTGATGAGGATAGGTGCTGGTTCTTCTTTGAATGTTCATTAAAATACCCATGTGAAGCTGTTCAGTCCAGGATTTTGGTTTACAGTGAGTTTTATTTATTTTTTATTACAGCTTTAATTTAATTAGTTGTTATTGGTCTATTCAGATTTTCTGATTCTTCCTGATTCAGTTTTGGAAGATTATATGTTTCTAGGAATTTATCCATTTTGCCTAGGTTGTCCAATTTGTTAGCACATAGTTGTTTGTGATATTTTATTACAATCCTTTGTGTTTCTTTGGGGTCAGTTGTTACTTTACCACTTTTGTTTCTGATTTTATTTGGCTCCTCTCTCTTTGTTTCTTGATTAGTCTTGCTAGCGGTTCATTAATCTTCTTTATCTTTTCAAAGAACCAACTCTGAGATTATTTCCTTCCTTCTACCTACTCTGTATTTTTCCTGTTCACTTTCTAATTCTTTTAGTTGGAGTGTTAGATAATTTATTATAAATTGTTCTTGTTTCTTGAGGTAGGCCTGTAGTGCTATGAACTTCATTCTCAGGACTGCTTTCACTATGTCCTGTAGATTTTGGTTTGTTGTGTGTTCATTTTTATTTATTTCCAATAAGTTTTTAAAATATATTTTTTACTGACTTCAGAGAGGAAAGGAGAGGGAGGGAGAGATAGAAGCATCAATGATGAGAGAGAATCATTGATCGGCTGCCTCCTGCCCAGCCCCTACTGGGGATTGAGCCCACAACCTGGGCATGTGCCCTGACTGGGAATCAACACATGACCTCCTGCTTCATTGGTCGATGCTCAACCACTGAGCTGGGCTCCAGTAAGTTTGTAATTGCTTTCTTGATCTTATTGTTAAGCCATTCATTGTTTAATAACATGGTCTTTAGCCTCTGTGTTTTTGAAACTTTTTGTGTGTTTGTATTATTAATTTCCAGTTTCATGTCATTGTAATATGATAAGATGGCTGACATGACTTCAATATTCTTGAACCTGTAGAGACTCATTTTGTGTCCTAATATGTGGTTTATCTTTGAGTATGTTCCATGTGCACTTGAGAAGAATGTAAATTCTGCAGCTTTGGGGTGAAATGTTCTATAAATGTAAATTAAATCCATCTGATTTAGTGGGCCATTTAGGATCACTGTTTTCTTATTGATTTTTTTGTCTGGAAGATCTATCCAGTGAATCAGTGGGGTGTTGAAGTCCCTTACTATGTATTGCTATCTATCCCTTTAAGTCTTTCAAAGGAGTTTTTAAAAAAATATATTTAGGTGCTCCTATATTGGGTGCATATATGTTTACCAGGATTATATCCGCTTGTTGGGTTGATCCATTTAGTATTATGTAGTGACCTTCTTTGTCTTTTTTAGGGCCTTTTCTTTGAAGTCTGTTTTGCCAGCTATAAATATTGGACCAGCTGCTTTTTTGTTGTTGTTTCCATTTTCATGGAAAAATTTTTTCCATCCATTTGCTATTCTCCTGTGTAAGTCTTTGGTTCTGAAATGGGTCTCTTGCAGACAGCATATATATAGGGCATGTTTTCTTATCCATTGAGGTACCCTATGTCAGGAAATTAATTAGAAGATGATTGGCAGATGGTACTGGGCAAGATGGGCTGGACACACCCTGGAGCCAACCTCTGTGGTCCCTCCCCTGCTGGTTGCAACTGGGGGGGCACTGGGGATTGAAGGGTGTCTGCAGAGTGAGTGGGGTCCCTCTGGCAGATGGGGTCCTTTGGCCTTGCCTGCAGGGATCGGGCCGAAACCGGCAGTTCAACATCCCCCAAGGGGTCCAGGAGTATGAGAGGGCACTCTGCAAAGTTGGTGTCACTCGGCAGCTCCTGCATTGAGCGTCTGCCCCCTGGTGGTCAGTGCATGTCATACCTACCAGCCGGTCAGCAGGTCAGTGTTATGCCCAGATTTCAAGATTCCCAAGAGCCCACCAGGGAGCCAGCCAGGTCCGATGCAAAAGCATAAGAGTCTTTATTTCAAACCTGGGTTTGGCTCTCCTACCCTCCTTACCGACTCAACTGCAAGCCAAGTGGCAGAGAGGGCGTGGCCTGATAGAACCAGGAGTTTTATAGAGGTTTGGAGTAGGGGCAGGAGAGGGGACTGTGGGCCCCGCCAATTGGCCAGGTGCAAGTCGGTGTCTTGTTCCTGGGTGTGGCTAGCAGAGGCTTAGACTTCCGGGAAGAAGCTCCTTGCCAAGCACGTGGCTGCCCCAAAATGGAGGACACAGGGTAAGATGGAGGGCGCAGTCCCCGCCCCTCCACCGAGAACGCGGGGAAGGGCGGGGGCCGTGCGTCCGCAGGTCCGAGATCTCGCCCTTTCATTCCCCCCTTGTCTTGGAACTTCCAGCTCAATCATGAGACGGACTGCATTTCTATTCCACCAGAACTATTAACTGAACTATCCCTATAAGCTTAACAAATGGTCTGGGGGAAGGGAAAGAAACCTTTTTAGATTTAACAACTTCTATTGAAATAGGATTTTTCTTCTTAAAACTCCTCCATGGCTATCAAAAAGCCAAATCAAGATACTGTATTTAATTTGGCCTGATGTTTGCATAAACACAACAAGAATGGTAACTGACCACCTTTGCTGGAATCTCATGGTTGAATCTTAATGTGCCCCGTAGGGCCAGGAAGCCAAGCCATCCAGCTGCCATTAGGCCTGCCTGCAGTATCTGCTGAGTTAGGTGAATCCCTCACCTGTAGCAACTCCACCTGAGCCCATGATCCAGGCTTTAAGCCCATCTCAGTAGCCCTCCTACTTGTTGTGGCCCAGAGTGTGTGGGGGTTCCGCAGGGATGCAGAAGCATCCTTACTGCTCCCCTTCTACTCTTTCCAACCGCCAGTGATGGTAGGGCATCGGCCTGATGCTCCAGCGCCAGCCATCTTCAGGGCTTCCAAGCAGGATACCAGGCTTTCTTCGTGGCATTCTTACTGGCTTCAAGTCTTTAGAGCTCAGACAGGGCTCTTTAAAACATGATACTCCAGTCAAAGTTTTCCGTTAATAAAACCACTATTAGGAACC